GGCTTTTTTCCTGACAATTGCGGAGCCGTAAGTGATGAGCACGGCGAACGTTATCATCAGGATATTTCAACAATGGAAAAAAGGTACCAGGGAAAGTGGAATCCTTCCATGCTTGCAGACTACTATTGGACTCTTGGTAGAGATGCTCCAGAAACGATCCATAAAAGAACAGCAAAAAGACAGCGCATATAGTGATTCTTATAAGTATATGAATCTTGTTACTTTTTTTAATATATCCTTAAAAATAAAAAGTTTTTTTTCTAAACCGCAACTATTTTTTTTATTTCATTGTCATTTTTGGATTCAGCGCCCCAAAATTAACAAAGAAGTGCACTTTTCCCACAAGATACAATTAAAAGACTAAAATTTGTTGTCCAGTGAACCACTTATTTTCATGAACTGGCAACTGGTGTACATCAAAAATAAAAATCGAATGTTCTTTAGCAACTTTCTGGTAGAATACTGCGTTCCTTGATCTGAGTAGCAGGAAGAGAAAGCTCCCTTATACATCAGAAATTGCGGAGCCCGAAGAGAAAGTTAATCAGCTTGAGAAGGGTCGAACTCTCTAAGGGTTAGTAAGTGAAAGTTGCGCTTAACTAAGAAGACTTCGCTCTAACGTGATCACTCGTCATTATTCAAAATGGAGTTACTGAAGGTATTCAGTAAGGGTTTTGTTGTTTATTAACTTAGGATGTAGGAGCAAAACAAACTTCTAACATGCTTTGATCTAGTTCGGGCTATTATGAACATTAACTGATACACCACAAAGATATTTTACGAGTACATCCCTGAATTTATTAAAAAGTCGCAGTCGCAGTATTCCTCAGTGGAAGGTACATCGAAAAACAACACAATAGGTTCTTTCTCATTATCAAGATAGAGGGAATTGTAAGCTAGGAATTAGGAATAAGGAAAAAACATGAATATTGTTTAAATAATGAAATAGTGAGATAGGATTACTCGCTTGATACACTTAATACATTTTTAAGGTCCAGCATATTTTCACATTAGAACATTAGAAACGAATATCTTGTTGAAAAAGCAATAGATATTTAAAAAAATTCAGTGGCGTACAGAATAATTTTCTTTATTTATCCTTAGGAGATAGGATCGCCCAATTTCTGCGCTACAGGTGTCTCAGGCACGAACATTTTTGTATGAATTGGTTATTAGAGTGTATGTATAAAATTTAAAAATTTAATATCTGAACACAATCCAAAGATCTATTTTTTATCGATTACGAAATTAGAACCTCAACACTGAATCGCATGGTTTTTCTATGAATCTTCGTTTAGTAAATACAGGCTGGCGCATCGAAAACGAAACAGACGCATTTACTGGCAGCTCAGTTTTTTTTGAAAAACGCTCAGACCCGTCGATTTTGTTTTCGAGGGAGACACAAGTGTGGCAAAAAAATCACGTTAGCACGTGCAGCCTCTTGGGCAGGGGTGACACCAACCCTAAAATCTTAAATGGAAAGGGGGGTTGAGTGATACCTTATTTTAAAGGTCATCCAATTCCCTTTATAAAGATGTAAAATACATCACAGTTTTGAAGATTTATTGATTTAAAGCTTAAAATAGACTTTAATAGGTACATTAGATAACCGCCACCCTGTATAATAAATGTGGATGAAAACTTGGAAACTGTATATTCTTATGAATAATTCTTATAACATATACATATTTTTGAACATAGCATAATAGAAAACAACCAGTATAAATTTGTTTAAAAATCAGAATCCTGGAAACAATCGTCTTTTTCGTTTGGTTTGTTATGGGTTGTTTGCTTCAGTCATCAGATGGCGCTGTTAACAATGGTACTAGAAATTATATAAGGGAGTCTTATCTATAGATAGAGATGCAGCTAATAACCAAAGCGTCCTTGGAAAACAAGGAAATTGACATAGCTGCCTTTTTGGACACAGAGGGAGCATTTAACAATGCCTTACCAGAATCCCTTTATGAATCAATCGCCTCCAGGGGTATAAATCCTCTGATATGCGGCTGAATCAGAAGCATGTTGACATGCAGAATCATAACGACACCCTTACAGGGGGAGACACTCAGATTTAGAGGTGCCAGGGGGTGTCCACGGGGAAGAGTGTTATCTCCCCTTTTGTGATCGCTCCTGGTAGATAATCTGATTGACTTTATTCGACTATGGGAGGCCAAGGTTCAAGCATATGCAGACGATCGGGTCGTCCTTGTCAGAAGGAACTCTGGGAAACATATCTCGGGAACGCTCCAGGAGGTGTTAACCGCAATAGCGGATTCGTGCGAAGAGGAAATAAATGTCAACCCCGGTCAGGCATGTATTGTGTAATCAGGTACAAGATACTTGGAAACGTAGTACTCGACTTGCTCAGGAGGTCGGAGGTACTGGGGGCAATATAAATAGGTGTGAGCCACAATAAACCAAAGAGTCTAGCTAATAACCTGTGGTTTACTTATTTCACAAGTCATTGTGACGTAACGAATAACTATGGGTTTCCGAATTCATGAATCGAATTAGAGAACCGTGTCGTTTGCGGCGGGACCAGGTGGTTTAAGTTAAGCCGGCTCAAGGGAAGTTATAAATACTTAATGCGGTTGTTATAAAATCGAATTTGCATAATAAATTCTACCACCTATGACTAACTATTAATAAAATTCAAGAATCCGAATGACCTTTTCAATGGCCGTTCTCTCCGCCAGAAGTCACATATACTACAGAATGAACTTTTTCACCGGACAACGTACGTACATGACCAAACTCAATAATATTTAATTTATTCAAACACCACGCCAATGCATATTCCGCATGCAGATATATAAAAGATAAGGTACATTGTTTATATTAATTTTCCACTTTTTCCATAGATATTACCATGCAGATTGGCGTTCCGGGGTGTTTACACACAGTCATGCAAAGAGTGCGGAACGGACTCATGGTCTACTTATAGTGTCAGATTTTAATTTAGTGCTAAATGCCAGTCGCGTATATAGTTTTACGCTTTTTAGCGTGGACGAAAATAGCCCGAAATTAGATTGCCGTGCTGCTAGCACCAGCGTGTCAGTCAATCTTCCTTTGAATTTTGCATTTTGCTCTTTGTCAGTGAAAGTGTGATTTGTATCGTTCATAAAAAATGCAGTTTTTCATCCAGGAATATACCTGAAAATGTACGTGCCTGTCATTCATCTTTGCAAACTTTAATATACTAAGTGACATATAAATCCGAACACCCAGTTTAGATGGTTTTATTTTAATAAAATTTTGTATAAGTACTTAATGAAGCATAATAAGTAAATGATAAAAATTTCAAAATGATTGCACTGCTTTAAAGCCCTTTGACCTTTAATAATGTGTGGATGTACCCTGATGTGCTACGCATTCTCCAACGCGCCTAGGCATGCTTCTGATCAGGTGGTCAATGTCCTCCTGTTGTATCTCATTCCAGGCAACCACCAACTCCTCTCGAAGTGCTTCTAGAGTCTGAGGAGGACGTTGCAAATTGAGCAATCTCCTACCCATCATATCCCACACGTGCTCAATTGGGGATAAGTCGGGAGATCTTGGTGGCCATGGTAACATTGTGACATCATTATGTTGAAAGAAGTCTATTGTGACTCTTGCAACATGTGGTCGGGCATTATCTTGTTGGAAAGTTGGATCTGCCAGGGTGTCAAGATAGGGTAAAAGATGGGGTTCTAGAACTTCGCGGATATAACGCAGCGCGTTCATGTTACCTCTGAAGATTAAAGGTGACCTGGAACCATAAGCTGTAGCACCCCAAACCATAACTCCAACAGTGTGATGAACATGTCTTTCAACAAAAAACTGTGGATTCCTCGTTTCACCACGTCGCCTTCTAACCCTGGCACGACCATCGTGCATGCCTAAACAAAATCGAGACGCGTCACTAAAGACAATACTGTTCCATTCCTGATCCCAGAGTGACCGTTGTCTGCACCACTCAAGGCGATTACGTCGGTGTTCTCGAGTTAAAGGGAGGACCCAGTGTGGCCGGTATGAAAACAAGCCAAAACTTCTCATTCGTCAGTAAACACTTCGCATGCCAATAGGTCTTCCGTGTTCTGTAAACTATTCATTTGCAATGGACCTGGTAGTGGAGAAACAGTCCCTTAAAGCCAATAATCTTAGGCGGCGATCTTCACGGTCTGTTGTTCTACGGCGGCGTCCAGTGCCCCTTGCGCTTTGCGTACGGCCTTCTCGAAGCCATGCCTGACAGCACCTAACCACAGTGTCTACACTTCTTTGCACTCTAACTGCAATTGCCCGAAAAGAAAGTCCAGCTTCCCGAAGTCCCACTATACGGCCCCTATCAAACTCACTAAGTTGACGAAATCGTACAGGTCTCCGTACTCTAGGCATCGTAACAGATCGTAAAGGATGTCAAGAATCAAAATCTGCCAACGTTGATTCTTTACTGCGGCTGAAATCTTCATTTTTAGAGCGTTAGTGAACTAAAAAAAGCAGTATAAAAACCGGAATGTCCAACTGACAAGGCTGAAAATTTTTTCACTTGTTATTTACATTAAGATAAATACATTCACCAACTTTTATTAAAATAAAACCATTTAAACTGGCTGTTCGGATTTATATGTCACTTAGTATACGATGTAAGACCCGCTCTGAAGATATAAGCTTAGGTTTGTATACCTGGATCTTCGGGGAATCTTTTCTTTTCCAGATCGGTGATGATCTTGATGATCTCCCCATGTGCCACCGTGTTCATGTCTATTCCTCTGCCCCCTCTACGTTTGCGGCGACGGAACGGTTGAGTCGCCGTCGTTTGGCACTCCTCGATCAGGTAGAGGAACACTCGGTCCAAGGTCGCGAACAACTTAAAGATGAGCATCTGCCCACCACACTCAACGGTCGTCCGTCACATGCCGCGCACTATCACACTCACACGTCTGCCGGATGGTTTGGTAGTCCAGTTATGGTCTGGATTATATTTGGAAGATAACTGATTCAAGTAAATATTAATCTAGCTGTTACGAATTTAAGATACGGAATAGAGAAACCTGCATCCAACATCTACAATACATTGTACCAAGTTGCTGGGAGAACCTGTTGAGGCCTGAAATGACATCATAGGTAGAGTACTCGAAAATCCCCCAGGCTTGTCTGGCCGATAAAACCACATGTATTGACAGATCTTCTTGACTGTAGTCAAAAACGTGATCTTCTCCAGTACAAACACAGATATTTGATTTATCTCTCTTCCAGGTGATGGTTTGTTTCTTCTTTTCATTATCACGTTCCTGTGCAGTCTTACTTCAGTGTCCAAGTCATCATTCCGAAGTTTAAGTTGGCACCAGCATAGCCCAGCGCTGGCTGGGGTAGGCATCCTCCTCCTCAAAAAACGACAAGCGAGTATGAGACTATCTGTCATCTCTTAAGGTACTAGATACATCGCCCTAAAAACAGCAATAACCCTCGAAAAAAAGACGCGAAAAACCCACCGATAACTGTTGTCACAACACAAGGTTTAATTGTTATGCAATATTCCACTAAAATGTTGCAACCTTTAAAGGGAACCATGCTGTTTGTTCTGCGAGAAATAATATAAGACAAAACAGTTCGGCCTTGAGATGGTAAAGCAGAACATGTCCGTTTAGTGCCGATTTTGAGATTTCTCCCTTTGTTATAAACCCATATGTATGGGAAACAGGACATGTGGTAAAATTGGAGGAAGTCTGTATACTGCATAGATAGAATAACAGTTGCAAAAGGAAGGTAAGGAAATGAGCTTATATGAAACACCAACAGTTGTCTTTCTAGTTCTTCTGTGAACTGTGACCCAATTTGGTTGAATATCCTTTAGACAGAATAACAGTTGCAAAAGGAAGGTAAGGGAAGGAGCTATATGAAACACCAACAGTTGTCTTTCTAGTTCTTCTGTGAACTGTGACCCTATTTGGTTGAATATCCTTGGAGGAAGGATCTGATTGATATACTTCAACCCAACTAATCGACCATGAGTTTTTTGTCCGCGTTTTTGCTCGTGGATTATTGTTGTGTTAATCTCAAGGCCAAACTGTTGAGTCTTATATTATTTTCTGATAGGACAAACAACATGGTTCGCTTTAGATGTTGAAGTAGTGATTCTCGCGTTTCGGATGCAAAAAATGCAGTTGCGACATTTTAGTAGAAGATTGCACAGCAATTAACCAGTGGGTTGCGTTCTTTTCGGATTGCTGTTGGTGTTTTCTGGGCGATGGACGAGGTTGACGTAGCTGGCACATTGAAAAACGACAGATGGCCGCATACTCGCTTGTACTTATTTTGGGAACGAGAATGTCTACCCCAGATGGTCTTGGGTTATGCTCGTTTTGCATAGTGCCATCTTAAGATTCAGAATTTACTTATTTATTTAGCAAATTAGGGGCATGAAACAGAAAAGAATCTACGAAATAGAGATACACAGTGTAGTTAAATATACTATGTCGTAAGCACTGTTATTTATAATCTACCTATATGAAAATACAATGGTAAAATATTCAATTCGGTAAAGAGAAACATTAAACAGAATTTGGGAACGTAACTTACTAGTGGCCAGGTTTCTGTTTTTTATCAAGTATTAAAACTTTAACATATCACAAGCAAAACTATTAGCAAATTCACCATAGTGGTTCAGATTTCTTCGCATTCATGCCAGTGGGGAGCTTAGCCCAATACTAGTTCTGAAAAACGGAATATTAAAGTATTATACGAGTATGTACAGTGTCTAAGATTCTGTACATTTATATTGATTTTCCATGGAGACCTTGGTGACTGAAACACTTAAAGATCTGTCAATACAAGTGGTATTACTGGTCGGACGAGCCTGGGATATTATCTACGTGAAAACCACAGGATAAGTTTCAAATGTTGCATTAGAGTACTCGAAGATTCAGAACTGGGCACAAGGCCCAAAAACTCGACTATAATGAAGAACTTAATGTCCAGAAATGACGGTTTCGAATTGCTGATACTAAGTCGCAGAAATAATTCAGTTAGTTGAACTAGATCTTTTTGCTTTCCATCCCTGTGACCAATCATAGTCACTAGTAGGTGTTGGTGATAAACAAAGAAAGTAACCCAAGCAAATCATGGTCCCATCAGAAACTCAAGGTCACATTCATAGACCCTCACTGAGGCTTCCTTGGAAACAATGATATCAAATATCTCCTTGAAAACAGTGAAACAATGACGCTTCCTTAAGGAACCTTCAAGGTAGGATTTAAACTTTCTTTTTACGGTAAGCCGTAACAGTTGCCATCACAAGCTATCATTTTTCTTTGCTGACCGTATTTATTTGGGGCGATTTGTTTCTTATGTGTAAGTGTATATTAAATCTCATTCAAATAAAAGCATTTTTACTCGATTTTATTTGTGACTCAGTATACAACAATCGTCTAGAATGGCAAACTCGTAGTGTCTACAATGTAGTTCCTCTGTAGGAGGAGTAAGAAAACTTACAACCCTTAAGACGTGGGTTGAGAAGTAACTGAATTCACTTTCTGTGAATGATTACCAAGAATGCCTTTTTAGGGCGATTAAAACTGTTTGCAGTAACATTGCCCGATATTCGTTATAAACCGCTACTATTCATTTTGCCTATAAAGCTAGATAATGGGTCTATCAGGTATACTTTGATTTAAATTATGAGTACATTTGAATTATCTGCCCTACTTAGCCAGGAAAATACTATACCATGAATCTAACGATGCCATACAAGACACACAAATATGAGACTCCATCAATATATACTAAGTGACATATAAATCCGAACACCCAGTTTAAATGGTTTTATTTTAATAAAATTTTGTATAAGTACTTAATGAAGCATAATAAGTAAATGATTGCACTGCTTTAAAGCCCTTTGACCTTTAATAATGTGTGGATGCACCCTGATGTGCTACGCATTCTCCAACGCGCCTAGGCATGCTTCTGATCAGGTGGTCAATGTCCTCCTGTGGTATCTCATTCCAGGCAACCACCAACTCCTCTCGAAGTGCTCTTAGAGTCTGAGGAGGATGTTGCAAATTGAGCAATCTCCTACCCATCATATCCCAATAAAAGTTGGTGAATGTATTTATCTTACTGTAAATAACAAGTGAAAAAATTTTCAGCCTTATCAGTTGGACATTTCGGTTTTTATACTGCTTTTTTTTAATTCACTAACGCTCTAAAAATGAATATTTCAGCCGCAGTAAAGAATCAACGTTGGCGGATTTTGGTTCTTGACATTCTTTACGATCGGTTACGGAGACCTGTACGATTTCGTCAACTTAGTGAGTTTGCAAAGAGCAAGGGGCACTGGACGCCGCCGTAGAACAACAGACCGTGAAGATCGCCGCCTAAGATTATTGGCCTTAAGGGACCGTTTCTCCACTACCAGGTCCATTGCAAATGAATGGTTCGCAGAACACGGAAGACCTATTGGCATGCGAAGTGTTTACCGACGAATGAGAAGTTTTGGCTTGTTTTCATACCGGCCACACTGGGTCCTCCCTTTAACTCGAGAACACCGACGTAATCGCCTTGAGTGGTGCAGACAACGGTCACTCCGGGATCAGGAATGGAACAGTATTGTCTTTAGTGACGAGTCTCGATTTTGTTTAGGCATGCACGATTGTCGTGCCAGGGTTAGAAGGCAACGTGGTGAAAGGAGGAATCCACAGTTTTTTGTTGAAAGACATATTTATCACACTGTTGGAGTTATGGTTTGGGGTACTATAGCTTATGGTTCCAGATCACACATGAACGCGCAGCGTTATATCCACGAAGTTCTAGAACCCCATCTTTTACCCTATCTTGACACCCTGGCAGATCCAACTTTCCAACAAGATAATGTCCGACCACATGTTGCAAGAGTCACAATAGACTTCTTTCAACATAATGATGTCACATTGTTACCATGGCCACCAAGATCTCCCGACTTATCCCCAATTGAGCACGTGTGGGATACGATGGGTAGGAGGTTGCTCAATTTGCAACGTCCTCCTCAGACTCTAGAAGCACTGTGAGAGGAGTTGGTGGTTGCCTGGAATGAGATACCACAGGAGGACATTGACCACCTGATCAGAAGCATGCCTGGGCGCGTTGGAGAATGCGTAGCACATCAGGGTGCATCCACACATTATTAAAGGTCAAAGGGCTGTAAAGCAGCGCAATCATTTTGAAATTTTTATCATTTACTTATTATGCTCCATTAAGTACTTATACAAAATTTTATTAAAATAAAACTATTTAAACTGGGTGTTCGGATTTATATGTCACTTAGTATATGTTGGTTCGATACATACACTTAGATATGTATATAAACCTTTCCGAGAACTTACCGTCCAAGGCTGTTACTGTCTGCGGTATGCCGACGACATCGTAGTCGTGGTTAAAGGGTGATTTGAAACGACCATTTCCGAATGCTCCCAAGGGGCGATGAACATTGTCGACAGGTGGTGTATGACGGAAAGATTAGCTTTAAGTCCACACAAGACAGCCGTCGCGTCGCTACTTTCACACGAAGCCAGGTTACTAGAAGGCCTCATATCTCACTAGCAGAAAAGGGGTGGGAGAAAGAACCCCCTATACATGGCAAAAACTACTGGTACACAGACAGCTGAAGATAAGCTGGAGCCGTGATTCATGAGACAAGGCCAAACACTGAGATCTACGAGCCCCTTCGCACTTCAGTTGGCCCAACTAATGAAATCTTAGTTTTTTCTTATCAAACACAAATAATAAAAATTTAGCAGGGTGTTATAGGTTTAAAATATTAACAATGAATATTTTGGTAATATATAGTAGAAAACACCAACTTTATCACACCCCAATCAAATTTGCAGCATAAAAATAACACATGTTGCAATTACAGCATATCAACCTATTTTTATTTCAATGCAAAATAAGTTTATAACGCATAGGTGGCTGTGAAAAATAAAAACCATGACAATTGTTTTTATTAATCACAGCTGTCAAAATACGTTTAAAATCGTTTTGGGTAGTTACGGTTTTCAAAATGGGTTGAGGAAAGGTTATTAGTGAGAAAATTCGGTTACTAATAATTAAATTTTTTAATTCTGGGAAATCAAACTCAGAAATTGCAGCTATGTTAGACTTATCGCGGTACAGTGTGAGAAATATTGTTAGAAGATATAACGTAACTGGTTCAGTTAATATTAAGCCACGATATGTGAAAAAAAGTAATATCACAAATGCCGACCGAAGAGCCTTAAGAAGAATAATCGTGAAAAACAGGCTTGCCAATTATTTACAATTAAGTGCTCTGTAGAGTGACGCTGTTGGAAGGAGAATTTCAACTCATAGAGAGGCCCACAAACTGGGATTATCTCCTGCAAGGTAACTTTTCTTATAAAAAAAAGTGAAGTAAAAACCCTAAAGTTGCACAACTTGTTTATAGGCCAAAGAAAAGCCACTATTAACTCCACTGAAAAACAAAAATCGGCTTAGATGGGCTAAAGAACATAGACAATGGACACCTCAACAATGGTGTGCAATACAATGTAGTGATGAGGCCCGATTCGAAGTTTGTGTTGGTGACAGTCGCAGTAGAGTTATTCGCAAAAAAAATGAAGCGTTCCATGTTGACTGTCTGAAGAGAAAAATGAAATTTCCAGCATCCATTATGGTCTGGGGCAGTATGTCATCAAAAGGAGTAGGAAAACTTCATTTTATCGATGAAAATGTGGATACAAACAAATATTTGGTAACTTTAGAAGAATCGCTTTTACCAGTAATGGAAGAATGTTTGACATCCGACGAAGATTTTGTGTTTCATCAAGATGATGCAGCCTATAACATGGATGGAAGAAAATAATGTACCACTTTTGAAATGGGTTTCAAGCAGTCCAGATCTGTCACCTATTGAAACTTTGCGGCACAAGATGAAAAAGGTTCTACGACAACATCCTGCTCGTACAATCACCGAACTGAGACAAAAGCTTCAAGAAATATGGGATTGTTTTACACCAAATTTTTTCCAAAACTTGGTTAACACTATGCCCCAAATAATTTCAGCCGTAATAAAAAAGTAAGGTGATGTTGCCCAATGGTAATCTTTCAATTGTTGCTTTGTTAACTTCGCGCAGTTATTCGCACATTGTTTATTTGTTCAGATGTTCTATTAGTTATAAGTCTAAGTGATTTCAAATATGTATTTTTTACGACTAGAGTGCATCTAAAATGTTTTTGAGAAAATAAATTGTTTTAGAAGTAAATAGTTTCGTCATGTTTAGTTTATAAAGGCATATTTTGGTACAAATCTTGAAGTGGGCCAACTGAAGTACGTATATAAGTCTAAGCAATATCTCCTGACAGAGAGCATGAGGAAGCCCCAGAGCAACTCCTGTGTCACTGCGAAGGCATGGCAAGGCTACGGTTTCAGACAATAGGAATCACAAATCCAATGGCGGAAAGCTACATGCAAGGCCCTATGCCAAGGTTATTAAGTCTGACTAAAGAATCACGACTGGACACAGTGCTTTAAAGAAAGTGTATTTGGGGGTACAATAGATCAATTTGGCTCGCAGTGACGTTAGGCTAGCAAGCCAACCCCTTCCTTTTGTAATCTGTGATCTGTAGTTCGCATACAACTTTCGTCTAAACGTTACTCGTCACCTTATTCTAGTTTCGAAGTTGCTTGTACCTTGATTATAAGGATAGGGAACAATGAATCAGTTATCATCTCACAGATACCATTATCCTTGAGTGTTGGCCTCAACAGTGCAACGCAACATTTACAAAAACAAAATCTCGTGACACCTCTAACCATATTTATATACTCCACTTTAAAATTCCTCAGCCCGCTAGCATTTCAGCTTCCAAAAATATATATTCAGACCAGCACGTGGTTATCACAGATTTCGAACACACCACCTAATTTCACTGGAAACTCCACTGTAAGTTCTGCGTATCGGTAAGTTTCCGAAAGAGCGGTCGCGAAAACGACACGATCTACTTTTCACGAATTTTTTCTTCTTAGATCGCACGAGGAGTATCTCGCACGTCAAGGAGACGAAGCACTACTGCCAGTTTTGCCGATGATATAAATACACAGTGTGCACGTTGCTCCTATGGAGCTATTTTCGTACTTCTGTCGATGTTTTCGTTCACCTTCTTTGCTGACGTTGCAGGAGTTCGTGACAGATACTCTGATGGCCGCGATTAATTTCTGGAGATAATTATTTTTCATTTGTCAGTAGGTAGTTGAATTGAAGTCCCTCTTTTTTAACGAGAAGATCATTGTCATTTACACAAGCTTTTTTTAACTTGACCTGTTTCTTAGATTAGGACAAATCTTGGAACTGAATTTTTAACCAGTCAACTTTAACATTAAACAATCAAGCTGCAATTTTGTATACGCGTTTGGTTCACGTTGCAGTACAAATGACGACCGCAAAATGACAGCTTACATTTTTATAGTCACCCCTATGATATCGGTATCAAATGAAAGGGCTTGATGAGGGAAACACAATAAGCAAAGTGTCGTCATTCTAAATGCTACCCAATTTCACCAACAACAGTCCGTTATTCTCCACCTATAGGGTAACAGACCGTCAGATACGGCAAATGAGCTTCAAGTTCCAATCAACAAATTTTAGCAACCAATAGCTACGAAATGTTGAAAACAAAATACTGTCAAAGTATGAGATGACAACTTGTCATTGAAACATCACCAGCTTATTCAATATTAATGAAATTACAATCAAAATTTTAAGAAATGATTGATTTTTGAATTAAATTCATGTTTTAATTACTATTGTTGATTTTTTATTCATGTTTATATTATTTTCTTCAATTGATATGTGATACTGGGTGTTTTTTCCTATAAACCTCTTGCAGATAGCCATTAAGCACCTACTTGATGACAGGCTCTACCAAAAGATATTACTCGTTTCCAAACATTCATTCATTTACTTGCCGTTCATCAGAACCATTATGGCAACTTAGATTGATATTCCCACAAAGCCATTCAGGTTTTTTGATATCCATACGTCCATAAAGTTGAATATTTTTCGTTGTTCAGGAACTGAACAAACATCCACACTGTATTCACAGCGATTAAGAAATTCCCAAATATATGCCTTAAAGCTACCAGCAAACCTAAAACCTGCAAAACAAACTACAAATTTGCCATATTTTTCTTTTTTCACGAATACACATTCTAGGTTATATTTATATTAGACATTATTTGAATACAGCTGATTATTGCATTTCAAGAAGTGACACATGTGTGGGATCTGTCAACTCTTGGTACCAGTCACAAAACGTATACTCTGAAGGTTTAACTCCATGCTATTCAATAACAACACGTTGACTTGTGTGGTTGTCAGCGGCCATTTTGTGAGGGTGCGACAGGGTTGCTAGATTATGCATGAATATCCCGTTTCACCCTCCTGGTCCCAGGGGAGTAAGTTCCGCCAACTGTTGAAATATATATGTATGTATATATATATATGCTTTATAAGACTATTCGTGACTTTTTTTCCCAAAATCATTGCACAACACTTGAAAAAATGCAAATGAAAATTTAAAATTATTTCCATGACGCCGCAAAATAGCTCCGTCGGTACCTTGGGTTATACATCTTGACAGTAGGGATGTTCGATACGAACCTATATTTAGAAGTATCAATACATTTCACGAGTACCGTCATATTTCGATCCGAACTGTGTCAGAAAGAGTGACTGCCATTTGGCTGCGACATTACCCTGCCAAATCAGACATATCTTTCATCATTTTCAAAGAAATTGTACAAAATATTCAAATTTGTGAAGCTAGCGAGTGTCACTTCATAGTTGTAACCAGACATGCCCAAATATATTTTCATAATAGGAGATCTTTCCCATTCCGGATCGAACAATCTACCAAAGATGCTTATAATCATGATACCTAGTAAATTTTCACGAAAAAAATTCAAAACCAGCAAATGTAAAAGATTCATTTCGCACCCTACACCACGGGACGTGATCGTCGTTAGACTTGGCAACCCTGCGAGTGATAGATAGATATCCCCGCCAGTCAAAAAGGACAAAAAGACAAGCAATAAACATTACTAGTTTTTATGATTTTTGGACTTAAAAGACATTATTTGTGAAACATTTTTCATAATTTTTTGTCTATGTCCATCGTAATTGCATTATGCATCAGGGAGATGTAGGGGTTGACACGTCTTACAGATATTATCTGTGTTTTAGCATGGAGAGGACAATGTTTTTATTGCTTTGAACAAATTCATTAACCCATAAATTAACCCTAGACTGCATAGACAAAAATCGCACCTGTCGTTGCTTACTTGGGGTTACCTGTAACCCCATCTATATATTTCCCAAAAACATGGAAACAAACAAACAATAATAAATAAAGACTTTATATTGTAAAGTAACATTACAAACTACAATAACTACTTTAAACAATCAGTGCACATTTCAACTCTATGTGTATTGCAAACGGCCTTAAAACATTTGGCACATGCAGTTTTTGTCTTCCGATCGTTGGCCCTTGGGCAGACAGTGCAGCGTATTTGTTTCTGTAGTTTAGTTGGAGGTTGATCAACTGTCTTCTCTAGTTCTATGCCTAGAATATTTTTTATGGAAGATGTTAAACTTCGGGGTAGAGGTTTTGTTAAACGCCCGCTCCATATGGGGTCTTGAAAGTTGCAACCCAAGTTCGAATAAATATTTTCTTCTGACGCTTTCTTGTCTGTCCTGCTTAGCAATTTGGAAAATTATATTAGAGTTAACCCCTGCTTGGTCCAGCATTCCATAAAAAAAGCGCAGTGGCCATCTACGTGTTTTGCGAGAAACGGAACTAGCATGAACCATTTGGTCGAAGGTGTCGACTCCTCCTTTGGTTGAATTGTAAAAATTTATAATCTCGGGCTTCAGATTTTCATCTACTACTTTACCAGTATGCATTGTACATAGTAAAAGTACTGATTTAGATTTTTTAGGAGTAAACGATACTAAAGTTTTTTCATTATCGAATGCAAATTGGGATGTATTCACGTCTTTTTTTTGTTTGGAAGAAAAGATGGGGGAACTTCCCTTTTGTTTTTACGAAGAGTTCCCACAACTGTTAAATTAAAATCCGAAAGCATTTTGTCGGCTAATGGAACAGAAGTGAACCACTTATCCATTGTTAAGTTACGTCCTGTTCCGTGAATAGACTCTGATAACTTTTTTACATAGTAATCTGGGAGCGGTTCTTTATTTGGCCGGTGCTCTTTGCCAATATATGGTATAGCAGATATCATATAAAAAGTGCGTGAATCGCACATTGTAACAATCTTTAGACCATATTTATCTGGTTTTGAGGAAATGTAGACTCTAAAGGGACAATTGCCGCGAAATCCTAGTAACTGTTCATCAACCGTGCAGTAACTATGAGGCGTATAGTGTTGAGTACATCGAGATATAAAAATCTCCCATAAATTGCGAATACGTGAAAATTTATCGTCGCGGTTTCTTACTGTCTTATCGTCAAATCTGAGACATGAAATAAGAAATCTAAATCTTGTTTCACTTATAATACATCGATATATCTCTGGTCCATTGTTTGACCACATTTCAGCAGTAGTTAAGTGATTGTCTTTACGGCATCCTGATATATAAAGCAGACCTATTAAGGCTAAAATTTCCGTGTCATCTGTGTTATTTATATATCCACAATCTTGACTGTAGTTGCTTTTTTGTCTCCCAATCTCCATATTGGTATACAAAACAATCTTGTTTATTACATCATCGCTGACGAACAACTTCCATGCTTCTAACTCTGTTGATACATTTTTGGCAATACCCTTCGGGCCAGCAACACGTACAACTATATTTCGCCGAGGCGTGCGAGTTCGATATTGAGGCTCGGAGCTCCAAACGTGCCCATGTTTCCTCTTATTACCTTCCTTGTAATCTCAACTTGATCTGCCGTTGCTTCTTCTTCGCTGCCCTCATCCAAAACGGTAGAATCACTTTCAGACTGAACTGACACATTATCTTCGTAATCGGAGCCACCATTATCAGAATCACACTCATTTTCAAGTTCATCATTCCATCGCAAAAGCGTCTCCTCAAATTTGGGATCACCCGGTCGCACAGCCATCTAAAAATAACGCTACTTGTCAATAATGCAATAAAACTTTAACAAACGGTCCTGCTTACCTGGGGTTACGCGCCACCCCACAACTCACAATATCAAAAAACGCCTTAACTGAGTAAACACCTATAACGCAACAGAGCGTGACCTCACATGAACATACCAGAAATCTCGGCGTTGCCAACTCCTCGGTAAGGAAATGATTAAAGAATAAAATTTTGCTGGGGTTACCGGTAACCCCACTAAGCATTCTAGGGTTAATAAATAATCAGTATTATGACGTAAAGGAAGATGAGGAATTGGATGGAATGTATTTTATAGTCTATTTTCTTGAAATCACTAATATTCAGAGACCTTTGACAGCTTCTGTCAAATTGCATTGCGATAAGGTATTTTCCCATTGGTCCGTAATATTAATGGGCTTTATTCCAAATCCAATATGACAGTCACCGCTAAATGGCGATTCATAATTTCGATGATCACCGCTATAGTCAAGTCATATTAGACGAAAATACCCCTGGCTTGTGAAATAATTGTAAAGTCTGGTTTTATTGCTGCGAGTTATTCAAGGGGGTATTCGAAACATGGACGCATAAAATGGGTACACCAATTTTTGTGGGAAAACTTTTTATTCGACAACAAAAAATGAGAAAACGTGTGTTTTTTTTTTTCGGGATTTGATTGAAAGTGTTGGCAGGAAGAAAAAAACCCTTCATATAAGATTTTTAGGTATTTATGAGACCTACAAAATGAGACCACACGTAAAAAGATCCGACTAATAGCAAAAAAGTATTATGGCCGAAAAACGAGGCAAAATGCAGGTTTCGGCACTTGTTGGCAATGCGACGATAATTTCACGCGAGGTTGTTAGTTAGCCACCCTGTACAAATGAACTCCCCATACAACTTCGCTGTTTGAACTTGGACAATCGTTACAATCGTCATAATATGCTTAAATCGTTGCTGAATAGCGTGTCTGCTATCTAATACAGGTAGAAACATTGTTTTCATGCTGGAAGTGGTGAGTAATTACATGTAGAGTTGCTTTTTTAGTAGAATCCTTGAAATACAGGGTCCTACGATATATAGAAAATATGACGTC